GGCTTTTCCTTGAAACCAGCCCTTTTTGTAAAACAAAAGCCCAGAGTGTCCCGACCACAGGACTTCCCGGGAAACACCAAAGAGCTGAGAGTCCTTTCCACGCTCAGTCTGTGTATTACCATGGACAGCGAAAAAGAAATCGCACCAGAGCCTCTGTACTGCCCATCCCTGCTGGGAGTGCCTGGGAGAGTCAGTCATCTGGATTTTCATTTAAACAACAGCCTGGCAGCTAGGCAGGAGTCCAGGAAGGAGCCTGCTCTGGGGAGCCAGGACTCCTGGGTTCCCACCGGCTAGTGCAGGGGTTCTCACAACGCACTTTTTGGTGGCTTCAGAGTGTGGCCACCAACGCTTGCTGGTGACTGCTCTGACAAACCATCTCTCTGTCCCTGCCTCCCACGGCCCTTCAGCGAGAGCCGGCCCCAGGGAAGATGAGTCCCAGGCTTTCCATGCCCTGGCCAGACGGGAGTAGGGGAGCTTCCCAGGGGAACGCCCTGGCGACCGAAGGCCGCAGCCGCCTCCACTGCCAAGGGCTGCCTCCAGCACCGCGCACACTGGTCCCACCTGTCTCCGGAGGCGCTGCCTGGAGCCCCCCAGGAGCTGTGTGGTGCACGGTGCCAGTCCCTGCCACCTGCCCTTGGCAACGGCTCTTCCGGAGCAACCGCTGGGGGCTGCAGGGGAGGGCTTTGCTCCCCGTCAATCTGCACCCATGCTTTGGAGGCTGTCGTGGCTGCAAAAACCTCCACTGGTGGCCGCATTTGAGAAATGCTGAGCTAGTGACTCTCGGCAAGTCAGTTTCCCCACCTTTTGCCTCAGTTTCCCCTTCAGTACAACGGGTGTGACAATCCTGTCCCAGTGGCCTGTCCTGCTATGGGGTGTGTCTGTGAAGGGCTGTGTGCATGCTTGTGAATACACGCACACACTGTGATTGCACCTCACGGTGGGAGAGCTCCCCAGGTGGAATCTCTGGGGCAAAAGCAGCTTTTATCCAGTGTTTAAAGTCTTTGCTTCCCCCTTCTGTGGAAGGCTGGCCAGGATCAGCCTGGCTCTGGGATTTCAGTGTGTTGCCTGACTTTGTGCTGAACTGTTTGCAAAGTGGCCTGGCTGAGACATGCACTAGGGACAGGAATAGCAAATAACAAACAGGGGTAAAGCAAACGATATGGGCTGGATGCAGGATTCCGGGAGGCGGGGGAGCATGTCTCCGGCCTGTACCATGCAGGAGGTCAGACAAGATGGTCAGAGTTGGGCCTTCTCTGGCCTTAACATCTATGGCTCAGTTACCTCCCTGCTGCTGTTTGCAGCCTCTGCCCTGTGTTGCCAAGTGAGGCTCATGACGTGTTTTTCTTAAAGCCCCAGCAGCCGGAGTCCTGTGATTTTTAGGGAACACTGCTCAGCTTTCATTGGGGCAAAAAAGTAATTTTTTGGCATGGAGAAAAGCTGGAAAATGTGACCCCAAATGGCTCAAAATCTATGAACAAAACCTGATGCAGATGATTTAAAAAAAATTTATTATTATCATTACTTATTAGGTGTATTCCGGTAGCACCTGGGATCCTTAAAGCCCCAGCAGCCGGAGTCCTGTGATTTTTAGGGAACACTGCTCAGCTTTCATTGGGGCAAAAAAGTAATTTTTTGGCATGGAGAAAAGCTGGAAAATGTGACCCCAAATGGCTCAAAATCTATGAACAAAACCTGATGCAGATGATTTAAAAAAAATTTATTATTATCATTACTTATTAGGTGTATTCCGGTAGCACCTGGGATCCCCAGTCCTGGACCAGGCCCCTTCGGTGTCAGGTGCTGAACAAACACAGAACAAAAATACGGCCCCCTTCCCCAAGGAGCTTCTAATCTGCAGGGAGCAGGGTGGGGTGTTAATTGGGGGTGTGAACCGGGCAGGAGGGGAGTGAGCACAAAGGGGCTTGCTTGAGAAATCTCACCGGTTTGAAGCAGCTGTGATTTTTTTGGGGGGAGAGGGGATGTGATTTTGGCACACGTGGGGGGTGCCAACGCTGCTGATTCAGGGATCGCTGCGGGAGGTGCTCTGGTTGGTGTGAGCCAGGACTCGGATGGCGTCACGCTGGGGCTGTCTAGCCTTGGCAGCATGACTCTGAAGCGAAAGAGGGGCAAGCTGCTGCACAGGGCGCTGGCGGGTGGCGGGCGATTCTCATCCACGCGCCTCCAGGAGCTTACCCCCAGCAAGTCCCTGACTCGCTCCTTGAAAGACGTGATAGAGCTGGGGGAGGGACGTCCAGGGATGAGAGCCTATCCTGGGCGGGGGTGATGGTCAGTCCAGGTTTGATTAGCAGATGGCGGATGGCGTTTAACAGGCCACAACACTGCACAGCTGTTTAGGCCAGGAAGTGAGGCAGATGTGTCCAGGCCGCTGAAAAGCAGGGGGAATTCGGGCACAGTGCCCACACTGAACCCCTTACAGCACAGCACCAGCAGAGCCCACCTGCCCCCTGCAGCACAGCACCCCTCACCCTGCCCCCTACAGCACAGCACCCCTACTGCCCCCTGCCCCCCTCCAGTCCCTTGTTTTCCCTTCCCAGTCACTGGGCCCCGCTGGTTATAGGCTGCCGTCATGCCCAGGGCAGAGGCTGATGCTGCTGTGCACAATGTCTCCCCAGAGTCGACAGCCTCTCACCGAGGCATCTGCTCGTGGCCAAGACCCTCTCCAGCAACATCCCCATGGCCAACCAGGCTGCAAAGCCCCTCTGGATCTTCACCAGCTCCACCCCCAACACCACCTATGCTAACTGCCAGCGTGGGCTGGGCGAGGGGAGTCAGGCAGCACCGCCCAGGGGGCTGCGACAGCCAGCATGGGCAGTGCCCCATGGCAGGAGGAGGAGCAGCAGCAGTCACTCCGAGGAGTCCCTGCCAGACAGCCAGTCGGAGGAGCCCGCCTGGCACCCTTCGTGCCACCGAGAGCCAGCTCCAGCCAAGGCGCTTCCCCCCAAGCACCCTGGATTCCTGGTCTAGGGGCAGCAGGTCCAATGGGCACAGAAATTGCTGGAGGGGGGAGGCAATTCCAGCAGCCAGGTCTCCCTGGGCAGGCACATGCCTTTGTGCACATGCAGCAGCCTTGGGCCAAGCTGCTCCCACCTGCCTGGCTCCAGTGGGTGCTCTGGACAGCGCCACCCTGCCATCAACTCCCCCCCCCCCCCCAAGCCAGCCCCGTGTCTCTCGGCACTCAGCCCCTAGGCCCTTTCCCTTGGGCAAAGCCCCCATGCTGGATAGCCCCACTCTGGGGAGGCAGCCGGCCAGCCCCGCAGCCCAGGGGCCAGTCAGGTGGCAGCCCTGGAGGCCTCTGCCTAGCACCCAGGTCACATAGAGGCTGGGCAGAGGCAGGATTAGCTTCCCTGTGCTGCCCCCCGCACCGCTTCAGGAGCCCTCCCCAATCTGGCCAGGCTGGTGCCCCTCCGCAAAGCCTGCTGCCGATGCCAGATCGGATGGGAGCAGTGACCTTGCCTGGCCTGCACCGTGGCATCCTTGCCAGGCCCCTGGGTCAGTGCCCTGGCCACAGCTCAGCCCCCCAGTCTGCCGAGCAGCATCCCCTACTGCTGAGGGGCCCTGTGGACAGGCTTGAATGCCCCAAGGCCTGGCGGGCTAGGGAAGGGGACGAGCTGTTTGGGTTCGGAGCATCCCCTGCCTCGGGCTCGCAGTTATTCATGGGTAAAGGCTGGAGATGCTCAGGTGATTCAGGGCTGAACTAAGCCCCTTAGAGGGGACAGATTCTGCCAGGGCCAGCACCACCTGGAAACCTGCCCCTTTGAGGGGGCTCAAGCTGGGCCCCTTACATCACAGGTCATTTCTGAAGATCTTACCCTGAGCATCCCCACTTCCAGTGTAGCCCCCATGCCTGGGCCCTAGGCAGGGGGCAGGAAGCATGAAACCACAGAGGAAGAAAAAGAGAGGTGTCTGCTCATGGGGCAAGGGAGAGAACAGAGGCAGCTGGGGAAAGGGCAGGGGATCCCCAACATTCAGGGGGCTTGAGGGTCTGAAGGATGTTTTTTATTCCCCTCCCCGCCCCGCCGCCCCAAGGATGAGCCAGGACCGGACACTGGCTACTGTTGCATCCTTGGCTGCTGCATGGCTCCCATGCAGGGGCTGGGGAGATCTGTCCACACTAAGAGCCCGAATGTTTCCGTAGTTAAAGGGCCCAGCCCACTTCTGGTACCCAAGTCAGCAACGCACGGAGCCTGCCTGCACGGCAACTACCCCCCCACCCTTGGCGGTTGGGTGGCAGAGACAGGGCCTCACTGCGCACTGACGCCGTCACTCCCCCCGCGCCTACCCCGGCGTCACAGGCACGGGTAAGGTCCCATCTAACCGTAAACCAGAACTGGGCATTAACCTCACCACAGCAGCAGCAGGCCCCAAGCTTGCCAACCCATGGGCACATGCCCAGAGCCACCAGCTGCCTGCAGGACAGCCCATGGCCCCCAAGGCAGATTCAACAAGCAACATTGGGCCCACTCCTCCCCCTCAGAAGGGCTGTGGGAAAGTCACACCTCCAGAACTCCAGTGTAAATGGGCCACTCTGCGCCCTGCCCCTTGGACGCTCCGGGGATTAGCGACTCCACGAATGCTCAGGGGATCCAGCCCAGCCCCCTGGTGTTTTTCATTCTAGCCCCCGCAACCCAAATGTCACCCTCCAAAAGAGGGGCTCTTCCCCCTCCCCTCGCACTGCATAGCTCATATCCAGCACCCCCTCTTCAGGAGTTATGGGACATCCTCTTGTGAGCCTTTAGGTGGCAGGAGGGAATCAGGTCCTACAGGGGGACCCTGCTAGGGGCAGTTCTGGGGCCTGTGCACTGCAGATTAGTGATCGCAGTGACCCTTCTGCCCCCCCCCGGTGAGCTGGCCCTGTGTTTCAGTAGCCCAGCCCTGGGGGCTGGAGAGGGTAGCAGCAGGGTTCCCTGCCCCCTCTCCCGCTCACCCCTTCCAGAGCTGGATTGGGGGGTCCCTGCCAGTGAAATAAAAGCAGCATCACATGGAAAAACAAATCACTATTTTTATTTATTCTGCTTTTTAAATTCAGAGAATTAAAAAAAGTCAGAGGCCAGCAGAGCCAGGCAGTGCCAGCCATGGAAGGGGGGTGGAGGGGCAGGGCAGAGCCCTGCTGGGGTAGGTGCTGCCCATGGCACAGCGCCATCCGCCTCCCCCACAGTGAAAGGGTCAGTGGCTTGGCTGACAGTGCCCGCAGGGAAGGCCAGCTGGAGACAGGCTACCGCGCTCCAGGCAGGAGGGCCAGGGCACGCCAGGGGAAGAGCAGTGTTTCCCCAGTGCTGGGAGCTGCCCTCCATGGCACATGCTCAGACAGGCCAGGCTGGGGGTGGTGAGGGCGCCAGGGAGGAGCACGTGGGTGCGGGCGGGGCTCCGGGAGAAGCGGCCCTCTCCCTGTAGGAGCAGGCGGGGGAGCTGAGCGGGGCTGGGGAGAGGAAAGGGTGAAATGGGACAAAGAGCGTATGTCAGTGTCAGCTCCAGGGGTGACGAGGACGTGACAGCACACGGGAGGGGCTGATGGGTGGACGTGCTACCGTGCAAGCCTGAGACGGTGTGCGCATGCGCAGGAGGGCTACCAAGGGGAGACGTAGCAGGGGGCGAACACAAGCATGCGTGGCATCGTGCCTGGGCGCAAGCCCTGCCTGGCTGCCCACAAGCGGGGGCCACGCCGAGAGCAGAACACCAGTTCGTTCCACTACAGCAATGAAAATACTTTTACAGAGACAGCATCAGCTTCTTTATTCAAACCAGCTCCGCCGGGGAGGGAGGCAGCAGGCCGAGTCTCTGGCCCAGCCTGGGTGGGAGCTCTAGGGGGAGGCAGGGCAGGCTGAGGCTCTGGGCCAGGCTCAGGGGGAGCTCTGAGGGGAGGCACGAGCGCTGGTTTCAGCCCCAGGACGCTGACGCTGCTGCTTTCGGGTCTGTACAGCAAGAGTGAGGCGCTGTAGGTCAGGAGCATCAGCAGGCGAGAGCTGCCTCCTGCGGGCAGTCGTGACTGGGGGGGTCCCTCCTCGCCTTGTGCCTTGGCAGACCCCGAGGCCTGGGGTTCAGCCGCTCCCCCCACGCCCCTCGCCAGTCAGTGGGTGTCATTCTTGATGATGATCTCCACCCCGTGCTGACGCAGCTGCGCCCGCAGGATCAGGTTCTTGTTCTTGAGATCTTCCACCTGGAAGGGGAGAGGAGGTCAGGCTGGGGATCTGCCCTGGGGTGGGCGCTGCCTCCTCAAACAGGGCTGGAAGTGCCTTCCCCAACCCACCCCCTACAGCTGTCCCGGGCGCACGGGGTACAGGAACAATGCTGGGCTGGCTAGCCTGGCACAGCCTCTTCCTCTGCTGTCCTGGGCCTCAGGCTGAACATACCCTGCCGCTGGGCAGTCTGGGCTGCAGGTGGAGTCCAGTCCCTGTGGCCCATTCAAGTCCTTGGAGCTGCCAGGCAAGGAGGCCAATGACCAGCAGATTCAACAGGATCAGGGCAAAGTCACCTGCCCCTTGGCCATGACACACCAGGCAGGTGGCCGCTGCTCCCAGCCCCCCTCCAGCTGGGCTGCATTGGATCCGTGGCCGAAAGGGGATGGCTGCCCACAGCACCGGCGGGGCAGCGACCAGCAGCACCCCGTGCTCACCTGCTGCCGCAGGACGTCATTGTCCATCTGCAGCTGGTCGAGGCCCTGCAGCTCCTCGGAAAGGCGGTGGTTGCTCTGCCGCAGCTCCTGGATGTAGTCACAGGCTTTGGAGAGGATCCCTCCCTTACTCTGCAGAACAGAGACGCAGCTGGGAAGGGACGTGGGCCAGACCAGCAGGACACCATCACCGGGGCTGGCCTTGGCCCCTGCTAAGCTGGGGTTTCCTCACCCCTTTAACCAGTGCAAGGCCCTGTGTGGATGCTCCCATTCTCCCCTTGCAGCTTTGCTTAATCCAATCAGCAAGGGGTTTAAACTAAACTGAGATAAGCGTTTACACTGGAGCATGCACCGGTTCAGCTAAAGTGGCGCAAGTCTGTGTGCGCGCGGCCTCAGAAACCTCCTCGCTGCATCTGCCCCTTGCCAGCCCCACTGGCCAGGAGCCCAGCTCTCAGTGACAATCACCCCACACAGGGATTTGCTTCGGTCCAAACTCAGGAGCAGACAGGAGGGTTTCTGCACAATTCACCCTTTGGAGGAGGCTTCTCCACAAGTTCTAAGCACGCAGGAAGGGGGCTGCACTCGAGCAGGACCATGGCCACACTAGGCTGCGGGCTTGGCAGGGGACGGGGCTGCACAGAAACGTTTGCCTCCCAGCTACAGTTAGGTTGTAAACTGGTTTCATCACAGCAACGCAGCCCCATGTGGATGCAATGAATACGATTTACCCCGCACCCCAAGTGAGCTAGCGCTGCTAGGAATCAAGTGACACTAGACTGACAGGAGCCGGGCTGGACTGAATCCAGAGTGTCAGGGGAGGGATCTGCACCTGTTGAAGTCTATTAGCTTCTCAGCTCTTAGTTAATCTGCTACAGCGGGTGCGTAGGCCGGGCTGGATTCATTGATCCCGATTCCCTGTCACCTGGTCCCTTGTGCAGTCACTTACAACAGCGCAAAGTGAGCGTTGCACACAAGGGGCAAGGGCCTGTCCCTACGCGGGAGGCGCTGAGGGCAGAGCTACACACCAGCCTTTGGCGCACTTCGTGAGCACAAAGGAGCCCCTTGAGCACACAAACCACCACCTGGGAACGGGGAGTTGTGGAGGTGGGGCGAGGCTGTGGGAGGGGCATGAAACGGTCTTGCTAGGTAGCCCCGAGCCCAGCACTGTGGTGGGGGAGGGGAGTTACTTCCATACACTGGGACCCAGAATCCTCCTCCCTCCATCACTCCAGAGCCATCTGGGGCTTAGAGCAATTCTCCTTGCTCTTCAGCTGCGCGTCTCTCTCTTGCTCGCCCTTTCCGCCCAGCCACATGCTCGGCATGAACATCACCCTCTGCAAAGCGCTGCCCAGCCGTCTGCGAATGCCACTGGGCATGGACCTTCCTGCCCCTGTGCAGGGAGAGCGAGGCAGCGACGTTGCGTTTCCTGGCCCGGGCCACGTCTGCCTACTTCAGGGACAAGAGTCAGTTGCTGCTTCTTACCCCAGCCAGCCTGGCGAAGGGGGAGGGAGCTGGAGGGGTTGGGGGGGGTGACCCCTCCCTGTTAGCCCAGCAGAGGCAGCCTGGCGAAGGGGGAGGGAGTTGGAGGGGTTTCTGCTGACAGCAGTGAAACAGTGACTGTGACCTTCGCAGCTGACATCATTAGGGTTCAGTGTTAACATCCCATAGGGATGAACAGGGCAGTTGATGGCCCTGGCACCAGCAGTTCCCTCTAAGAAAAGCTTCTTTGCAAGCTTGAGGACTCGAGATTTCAGAGCTGTTTTTCAGTGAATCAGGCTCCAGAGCACAATTCTGCGCCATCAGCACAGAAAACTGGAGGTACATGAGCATCTGCATAACATCTGAGAGCACCGGGGTTTGTCAGTCTGAGGCAGATTTCAGCCAATGACCTATCAGTAAAAGACCTCTTCATAGCACCCCCCAACCACCTGCTCAGGTCAGGGGAACTATTGGAAGCACCTGGTTCTAAAGAGAGGGGCTGAATTCGACACTGGCATAGGGAAATGCAGGCAATGCAGTTTGGCCCCCTTATGCCGGCCCCTGGACTGTGACCAATTCTTCCGGGGGGGCTCCCTTACCTGCCCTGACTTGGTGTTCTCCATGGAGCAGTCTGGGATGATCTTGGACAGCTGCACAATCCAGTTGTTGATCTTGTCCCTTCGTCGGCGCTCCACTGGGGTGGGGAAAGAGGGGATGGAATTTCAGGAAGGTTCCCGGTCTCTGGGACTGCAGATAGCTACCCTAATCTAAGCCCAGGTTTCCCTAGAGAGAGCTGTGCCCTGAGGGCTGAACGCGACCCTCCTTGACAGATATCTCTACACCCACCCTTGTCATGGCTGGCGGTGGGATCCTGCGAGGAGAGAGAAAATGGAAATGGGAGTACGGGGGAGAAAAGGGTCTGGTGGGGGCTGGATTGCAGAGGGGAAGGGTGGAGAAGGTAGGATGGGGGCTGGAGATGGGACCCCAGGCTCGTTGGGGTGACACTGCTAATTAGGCTCATTAGGACAAAGAGCCCAGTGAGTGGGGCAGGAACCCTTTCCCTTGCTGGGATGTTTCCATGTCTGGTGCAGTGGGAACAAAGCCCCCTGCCTGGGGAGCAGGCACAGCTGCTTTGTGGTGCTGGGAGAACACGGTCATTGGAAACCCGGAGCTGAGGTTAAGCTTAAGGACCCAACCCTTTGACAAACGCGCAACGCACAGGCCAGGCACCCAAATCACCTTAACTCTGCTCCTGATGCCCTTAGGCTGGGGGAGGAACCTGAGGCACCATGTCTGTCTAGAAGAGTGGTTCTCAACCTATTTACCATGTGTTATGTGAGCCGAACCCAATACTACCTGAGGATGTCACGTGGGCCGCAGCTGCGTGCTGATGGGCCACACGCGGCCCACGGGCTGCAGGTTGAGAACCACTGGTCTAGAACATGCCGCGCCACGTCCCTGAAGGCAGACATTGGAGTCCTTTACCTGGGATCGCAAACACTGCCCTTCGTACAGCCTTACGCTGTGTCCGGAGAGCCAAGGGAGAGGCTGATGAGACCTGAAGGGCCCCAGCCCCTGCTCTTCGCTAGAATGTCCTGCGCTGCCAGTTACAAGCCCCCTGGGCCCACCTTGGGGCAGGAAGGCACTACCTCGGGAAGGGAAGCCAGCACGACAGCAGAGAGCCTTCTTTATTGCTGTAGTACCCACAAGGGCAGCGGCTCATCCAGATGTCCTCCGAAAGGCCTTACGCTGAAAGATGCTAGGGATGGGACGAGGACAGAAGCGTGGCCACATTTAAGATGCCCACAGCTGTAGCCTGAGCATCTTCAAACCCTTGCTCCCAAAGTACCATCTTACAGGGAGCCTGCAGAGGTGGAGAACATACAGGGTTTTCAGGGTCAGCCCTACATCGGAGGGGAACTACAAAGGGATGGCTGGAGGCAGAGTTAAGGCCTGTTTGGGTGCCCTACCTGTGCACTTCCAGATTTCCTGGGCTGATAACTACAGCGCTCCCACTGATAGGTGCTTTCCATCTTAACAGAGCTTTTCCATCTGGGTGGGAACAGATAAAGAGTTAACCAAGGGAAACCGCTCCTTACATCTACTTCTAAAGGCAAGGTTCCCCTCAGATCTAAAGCTGCCATCAATGGAGGATGCCCCAAACCTTCCCACCCCCCAGGGCCTCTGCCCCTACCTTCATTGTGTTGTGCTCGGCGTTTCTCATCCCGAGTTGTCCGAGGAGCTTCGGACTTCCTGAAAAGCAAGCAACCCCACCAGACAGTGTAACGCAGAGGCTCAGCACTGAACAACGAGCCCCATGTCACATCTCAAAGCGCCTTCCTCAGGGCGGAGGCAACATCAGCCCTGTTTTACAGGGTGGGAAACTGAGCCAGGGAGTAGTGTAACAATACACAAACAGTAAGTCAGCGGGACAGCCAGGAACAGAACTGGGAAATCCCGACTCCCAGCCCCGTGGAACAGCCCACAGCTGCTCCCTATAGCTGTGGATCAGAACAAAGACTCCCACTCTCCCCACAAATGGGAGACATAAGAAAGAAGGCTACTAGGGAAGGGGGAGGAAAGCGGGGTCAGAAGCCGCGCATGGGGCTGGACAAACACTCACGGAGAGTAGGGGTGATTCCTGGGTGCGATAGATCTCTGAGCTCCGCCCTGCAGAACTTCCTGGGGTGACATCATCACAAAGAACTGCCCTGAACAATTGGAAACACAAGAGATGGGATCACAAGGGGAACGTTCCCACAAGATAAGAGAAAAATCCGCATGCATGGGGCGAGGGAGCGCCGCTGACCCATCTCTGGGGTGACCACACTGGCTTCATGCGCTGCCAGCATATCTGGACACAGGAGGGAAATGCATCTGCAGCACTTGCTCTGGATGCAACAAACAGGGCTTGAACCTCTGGGTTTAGGGGACGCTCAATTTGTGGCCTGCTTTTGGGAGGTATCAAGCAGCCACAGCTCCCAGAAGTCAGTGGGAGCCAGCAATCCTCAGTACCTCTGAGGCTACAGATTTGTAAGGGGCAGGATTTAGGTCTAGGAACAACAGGGGACGAACGGAGCCAAATCGAATCAGCATTGAGGTGTCTTCTCTGAATTTAAACAGCCCCATTACTGGGAACAGCTTTGGGGAGAAGCAGACAGTGAAACTGAGAGGAAGCAAAAGGCAAACTGACCAGTTTACAATCAACATCCCAGCATAAAGCAAGTGAAGCCCTACTGGGGCAGAGTGACCCCGCTCTGGTGTTCTCTGTGCTGGTGTTAAGGGGAGGAGGTGCCAGCTCTCCAAGGCAGCCTCTAAGGCTGAGCAGCCCTGCAAGCTGGGGAGTCAAAGTTCATGCCACGCCAAGGAAGCCCATCGGCGTGGTCAGGGCAAAAGTCCGCACCGCCAGCATCAAGAACCCCACAGCTAACCCACGCCGGAGCAGGCTGCACAAGTCACGGGAGACAGGCCCCAAGAACGCAGGCTGGGTGTCCCAGCCCCGAAGTCATCCAACCTGTACCAGTGGGTGTGGCCTGCCCCAGGAGGGCCTCTGAGTTCTGGGTGGTCACCACCGCGGTGGCTGTGGTCCCCGCACCAGAGGAGGTGCTGGTGTCTGCCACGGCTGTCGTGGGGAAGTACGTGTAGTGGGTCTCCGTGGCTGTAGCTTCTGTCTCAACAGCATCTTCGCTGGTAAATGCACCCTGGATAACAGCCTGCAGCAGAGAGGAGCAAAGGAAAGCAAGATCTAGAGCAGAGGTTCCCAAACTGTAGGGAGTGGGTCCCCAGGGGGCATGATGGGGTTATCAGGTAGGTGCAGGACCCAATGGGATCACACTACAGGGCTGGTGTAAGGCGGGGGCTCTGTCTGGCCGGGGAAGCAGGCATGGCTCTGTGTGGGCGATCTGAGCTGTCCAGTTAGGCTCCCTGCCTGTCTCACTGCCACAGCCCCCAATAGGCAGTTCCCTTCCTCTACTGGGGAGGCCGGTGGGGACTCTGAGTGGGGAGCAGAAGTCTGCACCCCAGAAGTACTGACCCCCAAGCCAGACACAACCTCCTCCCGACCCCAGCCCTTCAGCACAGTCCTAGGTACAGAGCCCTGCGTGCTGCCCCTGCCAACAGAGCCCCGCCATCCCTCCTTCACTGTGGCCCCAGGGCACAGAGCCCCACGCGCTGCCCCTGCTGACAGATCCTCTCCCCTGCCAGTCCCAGGGCTTCCTGCGCCCCCGACTCCTCCCACTGGACGCAAACAGGGTCGTGCTGAAGGACTGGGGTCTGGAGGGGAGCAGTTCCCACTGTGAGCAGCCTTCAACTTCCCCTCCTGAGCCCAGCCCTTCAGCACGACCCCTCCGCTTCCCCTGCGTAGTGGGGAAGTGAGATGGGTAGGAAGCTGGCTCCTGGCAGCTGAGACCCCCCTGACCACTGCAGGGAGTGGGCGGCTGTGAGGGGGGCGCACATGGGACATGAATTTCCAAAAAGGGAAATTCAGAAACAAACCATTGGGAACCTCTAATGTAGAGCGACCCCTCCTCCAGAACCCGTTTCGCACAGCTCAGTGGACGGACAGCCCTGCGGACCGTAGTCATCTATACGCTTGCAGAACGGATAAGGCTGGGGCAGGGCCAGGGCTGGTGTCCTGGCCCCCAAGGGATCCTCCTGCCCTGGAGGGATTCCTGCTGGAAGGGAGAGTTTGGGCTATATGGCCCAATCGGTGCCTAGAGCCACAAACGGGATTGTGACCACTCCCTCCGAGAATGACTTGGGGTAACACTGACCTGGGCCAGACTGGAGCTGGGAGCTGAGGGGTGAAAGGCTCCATGTCCCATGCCCTGCCCCCCAAACCACCCCAGCCCCCAACACTGGTTAGCCATCTGCTGCCAGGGTCTCTGGCCTGAACAGGGGAGTTATCAAGGCCTGGGATAGACGTGATGAGCCCCGAGCGAGCTGCTGTACAGGCCTCGGTGCATTGGCACCTCCCCAGCCTGCCAGGCACCTGCGACGCTATCTCCTCCTGTCGCCACGGCGGCTCCTTCCCAGTGCCACTCACCTGGGCCATGGACTGTGCTGCAGGATAGCCGCTGATGGCGCCGGTGCCCTCCGTCTGCCCATCCAGCTGCCCCTCAGCCACCTGTATCACCCTGTACATCACCTAGGGGAGAAAGCCAAGAGGCTGTTCGCGGCCTGGGTCTCATTGTCCGGGATGGAGAAAAGGCAGCCCTAGGACCTCCCCCGTCTCCCCCTGCCCTGCAGCGACACGGACAAGAGAGCAGGGCAAAGGGAAAGCCCTGATTACCGCATGTGTGCGCACACTGGCCAGAACGCACCTGCGCCCCGCTCACCCTGGCTGCGCTATGAACACGCAAGCGGCCACCTACTGCTGAACCTGTCCGCTGGCCTCACAAGCCCTCCTGCCCCGGGGTCTCAGGTCCCTTTGTAAGGCAATGGGAACAGAGAGCAAGGATGGCAGGCTGGGGCCGACGGCCAAAGCCCCAGAGCCCTGCAGCAGCATTACAGCACTTAACCAGAACACACCCCCTGCCCGCAGGGAAGGTCCCTACTCAATCCCACTGCTGCCCAGCCCGAGTCTCTGCCAATACACTCCATGCCCAGTGCCAATCCGGCCATCAGTCTATCCCGGGGTTCGACCCAGCAACTCCAGTGCCACGCGAGGCTGTTCACAGCCCAACGTCGCAGATGGTGGTAGAAGCCTAGATGCCACTAAGCCAGCATGGGCAGCTGTCCCCATCCTCATCTTGGGATGGGGTTTGTTTCTACGCCTGGCCACGACCAGTTGGTGGCTACCTCGTTTGCACAGATCATTAACCAGGTCACCCCGGGCCCATAGTAGGTGCCTGTAGACTGCAGCCAGACTCCCTCGTGACCTCAGACAGGGCCTCAGACTTCCTTACAGTGCCAACCAGGTCTGGCCAGGGAGACGGTCTCACGCATACCTGCCCTCCCATTCATGGCCATGCAGAGCCACTCCCTGCCCCTAACACCTGGGGCAATGCACGACATGGCAGGGTGTATCATGCTCTTTTATCTGCCTTTCATGCAGAGGTGGGGAGCGCTCACAGCTCCTGACAATGTCCAGAGGAACGGCAGAGGCTCAGCACAGAGCATCAGGCCAGGGACATTTAGCTTTTCTGGAACTCTGCATTGTAGCCCTCGCTGCTCCTCTCTTTCCCCTGCCCATGCGTTTATTGCCTGGTCCCCTCTTCCCACCCCCTAACTGCACTGGTGGTTACCCAGGCACCTTGGACATCCCAGAATCAGAAGGCACAATTCCCCCCACTTGGTGCACTGTCCCTCCTAGAGGTGCAGCAATCTGGCCCAGAGCAGATGCAAACGAGCCTGGCCTAGCTAGACTGGAGACTAGGTTCTTGTGTACTTGGGTTTGCTCACAGAGCTGCAAGCTTTCCATGCTGGCTGGCATACACCAGCATAGGGCCAAGGAGTAAACATGAGGATCCCAAAGTCCGTGTTTCATTTCTTCATCCTGCACCCGCCCCAGCAGGGCATTTCCAGGTCTAGGAAGAGTCACCCCCACCCAGCCTGAGCGTGTCTCCCCCCAGGAGATAAAGGAGGGGGAGCTATTCGCAAGAAGGAGGCTGGAGACAGCTGCTGCTGCAGGGAGACCGTGCAGGCGTACCTGAGTCCCGCCATTCTCTGTGCGAAAGACATACTTGATGTTGGGGTCGGAGAAAGTGGCCGCCGACTGGATGCTGGCAATGGCAACGCTGGTGGGGTCTTCGCCTGTCGCCACTGCACCTTCAGGAAAGAAAACAGAGGTGCACATGCCAGGGAAGAAATCGTCAGGCAGCAGCCACCCCCAATGCCCTGTCCTCGCCAGAGAGTTCCCAGCTTCTATGACAGGTCCTGATCTGCTGAGGTCAACAGCTTAGCAAGATACAAGCAGGACCAGCCATTTCTCCGGAGATCAAGAGTGAGCAGCATTTATGCTAACAACAATTCTGGAAGGACATTAAACCTCATGCTTCAGTCTCTATTAGAGTCCTAATGTGGGGGGCAGATTATCCCACCTCTGCTACAGCCAGGTTCCTACATCTGAAGCAGCTGGTACTGGTCTCTGTCACAGACCAGGCTGGCACTCCTAGGGGACCGATGGGTTCCAGCTGTGAGAGCAATTCCACCAGGATCTGCAACCTCCCCTCCGCAGCCATCTGAAATCACTTCACCCAGCCCGCCAGACAGCCGTCAGATGGCAGGGAGATCCCGGCACCTCCAACCTGAGCTGCACTGGAAATGGTGACACAGCATCACCAATTCCCTGGGAACCCCACCCTGGGCCTCGACAGTGAGAACAACAGTGCCGAACTGTGGCATTTTCCTAGGCAGAGCTTTGGCTGCAGAATGCCATGGGGAAAATCTCCCAAGGCTGGGGATGGAGGTCGCCCCTCACCTTCCTGGATCTGCACAGTGCCCTCTTCAGTCTCAGCCGCTTTCTGCTGTCTGCAAAGGGAACAAGCCACCAGTGAGGACAGAACACAACAAGGCTTCCACGGTGGCAGCTGGTGACATGGGGTCAGTAACACAGGTGCTCTGAAAAGCGGAGCCCCAAGTGCAACGTGATTAGCCGGAGGGGGAATAGACTTGGGGAAGAAGTCAATGACCATCTTTTCTGTTCCACATCTGGGTCGGCTACAGTGAAAGTTACTTTTTTTTACTGTTTGTGTTTTTACATCAAAAATTCAGGTCTCGTCTGCCCAGAAGACTTTCTTGGATGTGTCTACACTGCAATCAGGAGGCGTGACTGCAGCATCCTAACCACGTTAGCACTGGAGCTGCGTGACTAGTGGCTACGCTGTTGTCTGTAGCCAGTTTGCTGGATCCAAGCAACCTCAGGTATGTCTACACATGCTGTCCCGATTGCAATGCAGACATACCCTCACAGAGAGCTCATCAACTGAGTCAAAAGAGTGAAAGTTGAGCCATTGAGAGGGGAAGGGATCTGGAGACCACCTGTTCACAGCTCTGTAGTTGTTATTGCTTATTGCAGGTCCGTGGCAGAGTAACATCTGGATAAAGACACATCTGTCTCTCCAGTACTTACCCCTTCATCTCTTTGCTCTGTTATGCATCAGAAGAGCAGGTCTTGGAGTCTCCCTTGTGCCTCTCACTTCACAGCCTCGTTTTCCAAACCCTGGGGGAAGGAGGAACACAGATTCTCAAAGGCAGGGGCCACACAGTGAGGACTGACAGAACTCCCTCTCTACCCCACACTCCTCCTCCAGTCAAGAGCCTCTAGCTGCCTGGCAATCTCTACTCTTGGGTGCCCCGCACAGAACTGCTCGCCTTTCCTTTTTAGCCTTCTCGCTGCCTCCTCTGAGTGGAGATATTGAACAATCCTTCGACCGCTCAGCCTCACAAGCTGGCACCATTTTAGACTCTCATCTCCTTCTCCCCGGGTATGTCCACACTGCAAAGTTGTCGACAAAACTTTTGTCTTTCAGGGGTACTTAAAAAAGCCCCCTCACGAAAGACAAAAGACGCAAATGGCAGTGTCAACGCGGCTTTATCGACAGGAGCACTCTCCTGCCGACACAGCTAACGCCGCTCGCGGGGCTGGAGGTATTTTGTCAGCAAAAGTACTGACAAAGAGCATTTACACATGCTGACTTTTAGCAACAAGGCTGTGTTGACACAGCCTTGTCGCTAAAAGCTGCGTGGTGTAGACAAGCCTCCTACCCATATCCAGCTTCTTATTGCACCCAGTCACTTCTCCCTTGACACTGCTGCAGTCTCTCCCAGCCTGGCTTAAAGTAACCTTCTCCTCTCCTCCGCCAGCCTATTCATAGATTTAAGGGTCATTATCATCATCTTGTCTGGCATCCTGTATAACTCCAGCCAGAGAACGTCACATGGCGCTTCCTGCATCCAGCCCAGTATCTTGGCTTTCCTTAGAAAGACATCCAGTCTTGACTTTCAGATGATGGAAAACCCATCACATCCCCAGGACGTTGTTCAAAAGGTTAATTCCCCCCACTGGTAAAAACATGCACCTTATTTCTAGTCTGAATGGGTCTAGCTTAAACTTCCAGCCATTGGCACCTGGTTCTGCCTTTGCCTGATAGATCCAAGAACTCTCTACTCTCAGATCTCTTCTTCCTGCATAGATACATATAGACCAGTGGTTCCCAAACATTTTCATGCCACAACCCTCTTTGGGATCACCTCTGGCAATGCGATCTCCAGGCTGGGCCCAGGGGTTGACAGCGAGCCTACCAGGGGTGCCCCCCAGAAGTTTCTCTCATAATACACTGACGGGGGAGGCAGGAAGAAGGCCAAGTCTTAACCGCAAGAGGGGGAGACCCTAAGGGGGGTCGGGTGCTGGAGTGGCTAGCTGAGCTGAAAGAGGCATTAGGGGTGTTTGGGAGTGTAGGGAAAAGGACTTGTTGGGGTCAGGGAGAAGGGGGTAGTTGCCTGTATTGGCCAGGCTCGGGGAGAGGCACTGATACCAGGTGCAGGCAGCGCTGAGGTGGACGGAGCGTGCATACTCATGCCACAGGCAGCTGCTCAGCCTGTCCCAGTACCAGAGGTGCCTGCCTGGCCCAGACAGTGCCAGGTACCAGTAGCTGCTGGGGGAGAAGGCACAGGGGATCTATGCATTGTCCCTGTCACATGGTGCTGATTCTCCTAGCCCGGCCCTCTACTCCTGCCCCATGCTGGAACACTGGGATGGGTTCCCCCTGCCAGGGGATCTCACCAAAATGACCTCGAGGAGTTACCCGTTGAGCCTCCCCCAAGGGCATTGCTGCCTCTCCCCAAGCATGGCCGACAAAATGGTACCCACCACGGTACCCACCACGCGTGATGCGTGTACGGATGTGGGCACCACACAACGCCACGAAGGTCTGGCACAGCCACCCCTCCGTAGATTTTCAGTGTCTCACCACCACCCCCTGGTATCCTTTGTGTCACAACCCACAGTTTGGGAACCCCTAAGAGACTAATCAAGTAGCCACTCAACCTTCTCTTTGATAATCTGAATAGATGGAGCTGCTTAACTTTCACTGTAAAGCAGGTTTGCCAGGCCTTGGATTATTCTTGTAACTCATTTCTGACCTCCCATCAATTTTCAACCTCCAGGTCTGGTGTCCACACTTTAAAAAGAACCCACTATTCCTGAAATAGTCTCAATAATGCCACAGACAAAGTTACCACCACCTGCCCAATCCTTCCCAACATTCCCCTGCTTGTACAACCAAGAGGCACATTAGCGCTCTTTGCCACAGCATCATGCTGGAAGCTCATTTTCCTTGGTTTCCACCAGGATCCACAGGCCCTTTTCAGCGCCTCTGCTTTCCAAAATACATCCCCCAAATGTAGGTAAGCATGACCTGAGTTCTTTGTTCCTAGATGTAGGACCTTCCATTGGGCTGTGTTAAAATACATGATCTTTGCACTCAGTTTACCAAGCAATCCACATGGCTCTGTGTACGTGACATGTCATTGATTGCCAATCCATCAACGTGTATGCCATCTGCAAACTTGATCAGCGATGATTTTATATTTCCTTCTAGAGTGTTGACAAAAATAAGAGGCTGTGCTGGGCTAAGACCCAATCCTGCAGGGTGCCACTAGGAACCAGCCTCATCTGATAATTCCCCATTAACAAGTACATTTTGAGATCTATCAGTTACAAGCTTTCACCCCCTTTACCACGCGCTACTTTTATCTTGTATGGAGCTCAGTACCAAATGACGTATGTGTCCAGTGCTCCATGGTAAAACCATCTTCTCCTCCTGCCTCCTCAAATCCCCTTGAATGGCTTTTACTGTGTCAGCCTTCTCCTCCACTCAGTGACCCTGCACCCTCTCACCCTCCACAAACCTCCACTCATTTCCTTCTGCTCTGCCTCCTTCTCCTCCTCTTGGTTTTGCACCTTCTGTGCTGCCCCTTTGCTTAGGGCAGCTTTCCCTCTGCCATGACTCCTTCCTGCTCACATTGTCCCAGACCCAAAGTGTTCTTCCTGCCAGAGACAGGACCCTGTTGTGTGCTCTGAGCAACACCACAGACAATTAGAGCTATCTAGTAATAAGGTTCCTGTTACACCCGAAGGAGACACCTTTGGGGGCCTAGATCATTAGCAGTAACCCCATCTCCTGCCTTACTTCTATTTTATCCCCATCACTCACTGTTCAGCCAAGGATCTTCAAGTGCCTTACAGACAAAAGTCTCCCTGCACCGCACAAAAGAAGCAGTTCCATTCTCTGCTACAGCTGCCTTCTGTTCTCACACCCTCCACCAGCCCCCCAATCAATCCAGGATCCTCCTCCTTGTTTTTAACACCCTCTGTGGACTTGCTCCATCTCACTTCCTGGACCATGTCTCTCCGCTGCCACTCCACTGCTGATCTGACTCGGGCTGCCTCTGCCACCAGGAGTGAGAGTGCCTTCCCCTCTGCAGCACCTGTCTCTCTCCACCTCACTGACTTCTCAGCTTGTTTCAAATCTCAGCTGAAACCATCTCAGCAGAGGCTTCCAAAGCTGCCTCAGGGATTTGGATGGCCCTTAGTCCCCACTAAAATTAACAGCACAACTTTGTCCCCTCTATGCCCCCCCCCGCTATCTTTTTGTGCAACTATAATTATTCAGCAGAACCTGCTTCCACTGCACTCAGGGTAGGCCCTCTGGGGATCAGGCAGCCGAATAAAAGCCCCCGTTTGTTTCAGCACATACTGATTCTGGGATAGCCAAATCTCGGCTTGAAGTGAACTGAAGTAACACCATAAGGAGATCTCACTGCATCTAGCTGTGAGAAAGCCCTTGGAATACACATAAATACACCTCGCCTCCCCACAGCCTTCACCTCGCCATGCTAACACACGCAGAAGCTACAAACGGCCTTGGCTTCATTAGGAAGCTACCACAAGTTAGGAACACACCTTATTTCCAAGTGAAGACATGCCCCAAATGCCCTGCTCTGAGCACCAGAGAATACTGCCTCCTTTTACAGTCTGCTCTCAATTCTGCAGGCTCCCCGTCTCCACAGAGAAATTGGAGCAGTAACTCAAGTGTCCCCTCTGCTCCTCATCCACCCGGCTCCCTGGCGCGTCTCTTTAGAGCTCTGTTTCTCTTCTCCTCCTATTCAAGTGTTTTAGTTGGCAGCTGCCTGGGCTGCTGTTTATTTTAGGCTTCTTGCTTCCATGTTGCATAACAGGGATCACCCTTGCTCAGTGTACTCTGCACATGAATCATTCATTAACATGCCACTAACCAGGGAAATGATTGATTTTACCCTCCAGCTGGCTGACTCCGGAGTCTCACAGTTTGTTGTAAGGGCTGTTGGGTTCCCAGCCCCAGCCTTGGAGAGAGGATTTTAATATTGAGGGGCGGGGGGCACAACCAGCTTTTGGACAGTGCTGGGGAAGGGAGATGAACCGACTCGCTGGATGCCAAACCCCTCTGGTTTAGCAGTAGGAAGGTGACAGCATGGACGGCAGTTGTTCCAGCTTCCTCTCCAAGTCCCTGGAAGAAGCAGCTGTAGTTGATTAAAGAGGGGCCATCTCCATGACACCATTCATTGCTTGGCCCTTCAGCTGAGATAGCCAACAGGGGGCCGATAACATCAAATGAGACAACGTCTGCGACAAGGACACGAATCCCACTCGAAAACAGGCTGAGACTCAGTATCCCTGTCAGCAGAGGTGCAGGGTTGACTGGTGACTAGAGCACCAGCCTAGGATGTGGGAGAACTGGATTTAAGTCCCTGCTCTGCCACAGACTTGCTGTGACACCTTAGGAAAATCACTTAGCTGATCTGTGCCTCCGTTTCCCATTGGTACAACAAGGATAATAGCACTGCCCTGCCTCACTGGGGGATTGTGAGGATAAATTGTGAAATGCCCAGATACTAGAGTATTGGGGGCCAGATATGTCCCTTAGACAGAGGATGTGCCACACAGTCATTAGATGGAAGGAACTTAAGAGGGTAAAGATTGATTTAGCTTAAGTTGGCAAGGGGTTGATGCAAGCTAAAAATCAATCAAATCAAATTGAGAGCGTCCCCTCAGAGTTCTGTACCAGTTCACTACATCAATTCAAAACCAAGTACTAAGTGAAACCACGACGCTTTGTGTTTAATCCCTATCGTTGTGAGGTCAGAGTTTATCCCAACACCCTGAGCCAGTTTAGCGTCTTG